TGCGAAAGCAAATTTACAGATCTAACATTGTTGGGCTGATGTTTAGACGAGTTATATATATATATATATATATATATCGAATGGTATTAGATTAAAATTAAGATCCATTTTGTTACATCTGTGATCCGTTTATTTGGCAATCGCCATGGCAGTCAACAGGGTTTAAGAACATCCGTTGTTCGACCTGCTAGTCAAATGCGTTTTGTTAAAATATACTTTTTCACTTTTTGGTCTTTTGGAAAATGTTGTTTGTGCTGTATTTAGACCCCTCTACCAATAAATTTGTTTTGCATGCACACGTATAAAAATTGCGGTTTTTATCCAACGCAATCATAGGTTTGAACGTTGTTTTCAATTTAGACTTGTTTATATTTTTTCGTTTGGGCTTGTATTATATTTGCCTTCGGGTTTATATGATCCGTTCATCCTATTTCAACTCTTCAAAATTCAAGAGTCAATCCTAAATTGAGGTAAATTATATGGCCTTCCAAATACCGTTTCGATTCCTAACATCACTGAAGAGACATTAATTGTCGAAATCCGGATATGGTGTACAAATTTTTGCACCTCATGTTTGCGGTATACCATCTTTCCGCAAGTTTTTTGTTTTCTATTTGGTATTAGATTAAAATTAAGATCCATTTTGTTACATCTGTGATCCGTTTATTTGGCAATCGCCATGGCAGTCAGCAGGGTTTAAGAACATCCGTTGTTCGACCTGCTAGTCAAATGCGTTTTGTTAAAATATACTTTTTCACTTTTTGGTCTTTTGGAAAATGTTGTTTGTGCTGTATTTAGACCCCTCTACCAAGACATTTGTTTTGCATGCACACGTATAAAAATTGCGGTTTTTATCCAACGCAATCATAGGTTTGAACGTTGTTTTCAATTTAGACTTGTATATATATATATATGCTATTCGCTAAAAAATGAATATATAATATATAAATAAGACATAAATAAAATACTCAAAACACAAAAAGTGTCAAAAAACTATTGTACTAACAAAACCCACCATAGGGTCAACTAAGGTCATAGTGGCTGTTATTTCTCTTGTGGTACATATACTAAGTTTATATAATGTCTGGAATTATTTTATTAAACATATATGTTCTTGCCTTATACATGTCATATTACTTTTATATAGTGACAATTTATAAGGACAGTTATCCTACTATAAACATTTTGTGTTGAAAAGGGGGACCTTCACGTTTTTTGTTGGTGAATAGTTATTGTCGGTATGACATACTAAAATACATCCTCCATTTACCATTTGTTCTCAAATATAGAATATATTGTTAACCCAAACCTTGCAATCATTTTTAGGTAAATTTTCAAACGATTTTTTTGTAAGGTTTTGATAACCAATTTTGCACTGGAGATGGAATATTCGGCAACATGGTTTTAATAGCAGCATGAATAACTGCAAGTGAGATGCAATGTGTATTTTAATGAACAACAGATGTCTTAGATTGAATTTTGCCGTTTAAACACTTCTTTGTCAGCTAGTTAAAGAAGATCAAATGATAACTATGAGCACAGTTGGATATTCCACTCAAAATTTTTGAATAACAAACTATATGTCTCATATTTTAATGATAAGAGAAGTTACGATATGTAGTGTTTCCCTTGTGCGTCTCAATGTTCACTTGCAGGTGTTCTATGTACTAGTATATGATTTTTGTTTGTCCATTTCGAACTTGATGCGTTAGTTGTCTGCGTTATAAGATCTTCAAACAAAAATATGGGAACGTCGAAATGTTAAATGTTCATTCCTTTTTGGTGATGTAAATAGGTCCACAGGTTAAAAACCCAAATCCTGGCTTGGATCTGCATGAAGGCTGTTGAGAAGGAACATTATTTTAATTATCTGTCATTGACAGTATTAGGTTTGCTAACGTTTTCAAGTTCAAAAACGTTTTGTTCATTTTTCCTTAATTATACATATCTTGCTAAACTTTTTCTTGTTAACTAAGGGCGTGGATCGTAGATAATTGTGTTGCTTCTTATTTTTCATTTACTAATAAGATTGTTCGACACATTGCTGATTAATTGGATATTGTTATCCCTTTTACATGTTGTATAAAGTTTTTATCGTGACACACGTTGTAGTGGAGAATGTATGTTTTTTTCTCTCCAAGTCGTTGATGTCCTAAACACTATTTACTTTAATGTAGTACAGAACTAACCAAAGGCTGTTTTTCATTTTTACAATAAAAGGTCTTAAAGTATTGTCAAACAAAGTGTGAAAGTAATTTGTTTCAAAAGTTTAGTTGACCATCAGCCTGCATCGAAATAGCAATAGTTCTGAATAACTAAAACTCTCAAGTCAAATATACATGTATATATATTTCATCGTTTTTGGAACTGTAAAGAATGCTAGCATTACCTGAAGATTCAATTCAGTTGTCTTTTTTTCTTTTAAACTTCATACCTTAAGGCTTTTGTCTGTATTATAATTTCTAAGATATATACGTGTTTTACTGAGTTTGGCCATAGACTGTCGAGGAACAACCAAGACTGAATTTTCGGAATGGCCAAAACACAGATATTGCAAAAAACGTACACTGGAGAAGTCCTTGACTTTGCATAGGCACGTGACGTGTGGCAGAGTTAAACTCGACCTGTTAATCTATTCTTTCTTAGCAAACAAATATATACAGAAGAAGGTCATTAAAAGAGTTTTATAATTATGCAGGTTGCTGAAATGGATGAATAACAAAATGTTTAAAAGAAACTAAGATTAAAATGAAAACGGTCCCGTGAAGATTAAGTACAGATATATGTCTAACTTCGACTTATTAAAAACAAGCTTCTGATTCGTTCATGCAATATAACGAGCTGTTCATACGTTGATCAATTTAGTTCTATATAGTGTGATTCCATTTTTAAAGTTGTGTATGCATAATCTACTGACTCTTAAAGAGGAAACACGCACAAGAATTGCATTGTAATGCTTCTTCAGTATTTCAGAATAACATTTCATGTGTTGACAACACTTTCCTCTTCCTTCGGTTTCCATCGCGTCAACATGGATACATTCAAAATAGAAACAAACAAGAGAATAATTTCAAATAGAATATATGGAATAGTTCGTACGACATTGGGTTGTGCGGTTTTATGTACACATGATCCCATTTGTTGTTCTGCGAGCTACGAAGAAGAAATTAAGACATGTTTGTTAGAAAGTCTTTGCAAACCGGAAATGGCGAATAACCCAAATTCCATGACTATGTCGAAAAAAACAGGTACAGTAACTACTAAACATATTTTAGTCTAAATCTAAACAAACGAAAAAGACAATACTTAAACTGAGAAACAATAATTGGGAAATAGTAACAGATCAAGATGAAATATTAAAGCTTGAAAAGGAGCTTTATGCTAATTTATACGACACTAAACAAAATCCGGATATAGATGTTCAAAAATACATTACTGAAACAAAACTCAATTATAAATTAACAGAAGAAGAAAGTAAATCCTGTGACGGATACGTAACGCTGGAAGAATTATCTATTGCAGTCAATAATCTAAAATTAATGGACGGGATAAGCATTAACTTTTATACAAAATTTGGGGACTTCTTGGACCTCTACTTGTAAAAATATTTAATTTTAGCTTTGAAAATATACAATTGCCATTTACGCAAAGACAAACTTTACTGAATCTAATTTAAAAAAAAAAATGATCCGTTGGAACTTGCAAATTACAGACCAATATCATTATTAAATAGTGATTATAAAATACTCTCCTACACTTTAGCTTTAAGAATAAACAAAATCCTAAATCTAATCATTAATGCTGATCAAACAAGATACATCAAGAACAGATTCATAGGTTTTAATCTACGCCAAATACAAGATGTAATAGATTACGCAGATAAGTTCAATATAGAAGGTGCTATTTTATTCATAGATTTTTCGAAAGCTTTCGACACATTAGAATGGAATTTTATGTATCATACTTTAAAATATTTTGGTTTTAATAAACCCTTCATAAAGGGAGGACTAAATATGATCGACATAAAAAGCTACTTCTCCTCTCCTAAGATAAGATGGGTCTCAAGGTAGCTACAGGCAAAACAAGAAAATTGGACATTGATCCCAAAGCTATTTTTAAATAAATGAGGGGAACATTTCCTTATTTTTAGAATGAACTTAAATAACCAAACCTTAAAAAAAACCTAGATATAGCTAAGGATATTCCAGATTTTTACTTAGATATAATAAAAAGTTGGATTTTAATTCATGAAACGAAAAACACAGAACTGAAAAACTTTGTCGAGATAAGAAAGCAAGTTATCTGGGGTAATAAATTTATCAAATATCAAAACAAGTCGCTTATTATGCATAATTGGATACACAGTGATTTCATTTTTTAAATGATATTATTGACGACAATGGAAAAATTGCCCACGAAAAAATATTTAAAAAACTGCAAAACACTAATAATTGGATTTCAGAAATTTCGATAGTCAAAAAAGCAATACCAACCTTATGGCTAAAAACTTTAGCCACGAAAGAATTCATCAAATCAAATGTAAATTTTAACAGATTATTTATCAATATAAACAAAGAAAACATTGAAATTGAAAATTTAAGCAACAAAAACGTATATCAATACCTCGTTCGACAAAAAATTTCTCCTACCCTTGGCATAAATAAATGAAAAAAAAAGAACTAGAAATCAATTACAAATTTACCAAATATATGTTTAACTTTATACACCAACATTTAAAACTGAATAAACTTAAAATGTTTAGATGGAAATTGATAAGTTGCATTCTACTAAATAGAAAAAATCTCTACAAATGGAAAATCGAATCTAGCCCATATTGTCGACTTTGTCAACTTTAAGACACGTATCATCACTTTTTTATTGAATGTAAATTTCTAAAAGAAAAATTTGGGAAACTATAAATAAAATTTTATCCCAAATGAATTTTAATAAAAAATCAACTTAAAAGATATAGTAATAGGCTATAAAATAACAGATAGCGAGTATATGGGGCAATATGCGTAATAGATTATCCATAGGCGGTAATGTTAACGTTTTCTTCTGTTGCTCAGGCCATATCGTAAACTTGGATATGTATGATGGCTCATTTTGAAGCTGAGACACTTGCACATGTGTGGTGCGATTTTCGGGGTGGCAAGTGTGATTCGTTTTCCCGTCAAGTGCCCAACCCCGAAAGATAGTGAAAAATGTCACTCTCCTCAGGAAATAATCCCTAAATTCTGACCATAAAAATCATTAAAAAATATGTCCTTTGTAATTATTTGTTCAGGTTTATTTTTTTATACTTTTTTTCACATCACATCAGCTCTATAAAACACCAGTCCTAGTTCATTTATGTCAATTTTTAAAATCACAGCTTCCACAATTGTATGGCGGACTAATTTTTTAATGAGAGTCATAAATCTGTGTTCCTCATCTCAAGGTCCATTAGGGATATTGACCCATATTAGATCAGCTAATGTCAGATTCCACTTATATTGCAGTTTGTATCCCTTTAGTACACATTTCTGAACAATTCTGTGAAGTTTTAGCCATATCTGAAATAAAATAAGCTCATTTTAATACTTTTAGATAGCAATGTTTATAACTGTTCAATATCCTTTTTAAGGAAGAAAAAAACACAATAAGCATATGTTATAAATTTACATTTTAAACATTTGTTTTAACTTTAATTGGTATAACTGCAATTCATAAGCCTCTTCTACCTTACAGACTTTCTACAAATCCTCATTTTTTGTTGATAAATCATGTAAATATAGTGTTTTTCACTTAAAAACTATCAGATTTAAGAAATTTTCCACCCTGATAGTCTTGTTTCTATTATATTTTTTTTATTGAATAAATATCTCTAATATATGTTCATTACTGTAAAGATTAGTCACAGACCTTTTTAAAACTAGTCTTGTTTTCAAAATCCATCAAGGAATAAGAATTTTAGAGGTTTTTTTTGTATGTGTGTTGAAAGTGGGAAAAATGGGTTATTTCTTTGGTGAAGAGTACATTGTGACGTCATTGTTTTTGTGACGTCATTGCATTATGACATCATAATTTAGAGTTGTACACATCTTACAGAGTGTATTGATTTTGAAACATGAAAGGCAAAAAGAAACGAAACAAGTTTAAGGTTGGTAACCAAGCATTTTTATCCCGTTATGATTCCCTAGCAACAAATCAAGATTGCAATGGTGTTGCTCCATCTACAGCTCCATCTACACAGGTTTTAAAAAATTCATCTATGCAAGTATCATCTGCATCATCTAAACATGAATTTCCTCATTAAACTACAAATGTATTGCCAAAAACACCCACAGAATCCCTCTGGTTACCCCGCCTTACTGAAAAGGATTTCAAATTGTATTCTAAAGAAAGTTATGATAAGAAGTCATATGTAGCACCTCAGACTGAAAAGAGTGCTACTACGGTGAAACTCCTTCGTCCATATAAAGTGTCTGATGACTATTTGGGTGAATATTTAGGGGATAAAAATACAGAAAATAGAACAGTGGATAGAGATTTAAACATTTTAATGATGAATAATCTAATAATTTGTCATATAAATCAAAGTCCACATTGTAATGTTCCACATTTTGAACTTGTGCAAGAGACTCAGTGGGGTCTCGGTTGGATTTGGGAACTAAAATGTACAAAGTGTAAGTTTATATCAGAAAAATATAAACTGTTTAGAGAAATTGAAAGTGGGCGTCCTGGCCGCAAGCGTGCCAACATAAACTATGGGTTTCAGACTGGTGTAATAAACTCTAACATAGGTAATGACAGCGCGCGAGTACTTTTGACCAGTTCGTGTATTCCTCCTATGGCAAGAACAACAATGCAAAGAATAACCAAAAATGTATGTGACAAGGTTGTTAAACTTGCTGATGAGGAAACTAAAAAAGTTGTTGAGAATTTTAAAAGGAGAAATGAAACCTTAGGGTTAAATAAAAATAGTCCAATAAAATTACAAATGGATGGGACTTACCAGAGTATTTATATCAAAAGTAGACATAAAATGGGTCAAAATGCCTCGCAGGCAATTGGTATTGCCTGTGAAAATGAAACCGACAGTCATGATGTAATAGGTTTTCACTTAGTAAACAAACTATGCTGGGTCGGTGCATGGTTACGCGGTAAAGGTTATGATGTTGAATGTCCTAACCATGAGCATTGTACAGCAAATACTAATAGGTATGATCCTTTGAGTGAAAAGGATCTGGGGTATGAAATAGGTAAAAAAATTGCCACAAATGATTTACTTGTAGATTATTGCACTACTGATGGTGATGCAAAAAGTGTGAAAGGTTTACAAGAGGCAATGCAAGAAATATTTGGTCCTTTATGGTCGGTAAACAGACTTGCCGATACAATTCATAGGGGTCAAAGTCAGTTCCGTGAAGGAATCCGAGCAAAATTTAGTGTCGGCATGTTCCCTGGAGTAACAAAAGCCAAGAAAAATGATATAAAAACAGCTTTTGCCAATGATATAAAATTAAGGTCACATGGTATAATGAAATCATTATTTATGAAGTATAATGGTGACCGACAAAAAAAATCAAAATGCTTGCCTGGTATTGTTCGGTCTGTGGTGAATTGCTACAGCGGTAATTGCGGTGATACATGTAGATGGAGCATAACACTTTGTAATGGTGGTAAAACAACAAGCTGGTGGTATAAATCTATAAACCTTAACAGTCATGGCTTGCAAAATGGGTCTCTGATACCAACTGACAGAGACAAAATATTGATAGAATCCTTGCTAGAAATGAAACTCTCTCAGAATGCGTTAGATCAAATGAAATTTTTCAGTAATACTAACAAGTGTGAGTCTGTAAATAGAACTATTTCCACATACCTACCCAAAAATAAGAATTTCTCCCGCAATGCCATAGGTCGGGCATCTGCAGCAGTCTTGAAAGTAAATAATAATAGAGATGTTGCCTTGGTTAAAACTCTGAAAGCTGTTGGCTGCACAATGGGTAAAAAGTCTCGTGCTGCAGTAGCTCTGAAAAAAATACGTAAACTTGAAATATATGATTGTGCATATCAAAAAAGTTCAAAAGTAAAATATCGAAGGTTACAGGCTCGTAAAAGGCAGGCTATCAATTTTCTGCTTAATAAAAGTAAGCGAAATTACGGGTACAAAAAACATCAGTTAGAACCAAAGCTTAGTCAGATAACTAGCTGCAAAGAGTTTGTTCCACAGCCTGGTTGTAGTTTTTGGCTAGATTAACAAGGTCACAATTTCCATTTTTCTTTCAGCAATATTTCAAGAAATATTACAACATGTATCAATTTATTTATTTATTTATTTTCCATGATTACAGGGATTGATAAATGTTATTTAAATTATTGTGATGATAAATCAAAATCTTTTTCAGTAATATGCATGTGCATGTTGTTTTGAGTTATTTGTATTTTTATAATAAAGAGTTTGTTTCATTTGAACTGTTTTGAAAATGGGATAACGGTCCAAGACATTGAAACATACCACACACAGCATCATACATGCAAATTAACACACATGTATTGCATAAAAATTTATTTTTCCTATCATGAACACATTCATTGATACAACATACAAGGAAATAAAATAAAATAAAATCATGTCCATATTTACTTCCATTTGCAACTATTTCAGTTCTGTTAGCTTTTTATTTTACTTTTGATATTCTTATTTTATAATTTTGTAGTTTTTGTTTTGATTTGTTTGGTTTTTATATTGAAGATTTCTTTTAAAGCATGCTTACTTTAGTTGGTTCATGTGGTTTGAATGTCCCAATTTCCTGACACAGTTAAAAATACATTTGTAAACAACAAGAGTTACTCCCCCTCCTATGTCAATAAAAGGTAAACACTCGTGAAACAAGCCGTAAAATGTGTTACCTCAGGTTAATATAAACATGCATGTTTGTTTCAGTGTCTTGGAGGGTGAGAGGGAGGGCTTTTATCCCATGTTCATTTTTTTAGCAGTGTAAGAAACTTGTATTTGAGTAAATGATTCATGCAAAGTGAAGTGTGCAATATGTCACCTCGGAGACTTAAATTTTAGAATTAAAAATAGAACAAACCACAGTTTAAGATGCAACATGCAGTTAGGATATGCTGTGCCATGCAGTTCATGAGTGGTGCATTTTTGTGAAGTTACACAGACCTTACGGTGGTTATTTAAATCATGGGGCTCAAAAATTATATGGTCAGCATTAACACACAAGGCATTATGGCAGAGGTGCGAGGCATCTAAATTTCTATCAATGTCAATTGTTTTTAACTGTAACATTTTTGCCAAGCGTGCAACATTCATTTTTGTCCTTTTTCCATTTGGATAAGCCACATTTAGCATCCCTAAAATATAATTTCTTTTCCTCTGAATGGCCCCTGTTCAGATTTTACATGACCCATTTTCTGCATCAATGCTATTTAACAACAAAAAATTAGTATATTTTTGATAAAAATCAAAAGTTTAGGAAGCCATTTTGTATTGTTTTGATTAATTAGCACTAAAAGAGTGTAACTGACCTTGATTTCAGCAGCTATCATCCTAAATTGTGGTCACTGAGCCATGAAACACTCCATCACCTTTGAAATTCAAGGCCACAATTTGGGGCAATATGCGTAATAGATTCTCCATAGGCGGTAATGTTAACGTTTTCTTCTGTTGCTCAGGCCATATCGTAAACTTGGATATGTATGATGGCTCATTTTGAAGCTGAGACACTTGCACATGTGTGGTGCGATTTTCGGGGTGGCAAGTGTGATTCGTTTTCCCGTCAAGTGCCCAACCCCGAAAGATAGTGAAAAATGTCACTCTCCTCAGGAAATAATCCCTAAATTCTGACCATAAAAATCATTAAAAAATATGTCCTTTGTAATTATTTGTTCAGGTTTATTTTTTTATACTTTTTTTCACATCACATCAGCTCTATAAAACACCAGTCCTAGTTCATTTATGTCAATTTTTAAAATCACAGCTTCCACAATTGTATGGCGGACTAATTTTTTAATGAGAGTCATAAATATGTGTTCCTCATCTCAAGGTCCATTAGGGATATTGACCCATATCGGATTCAATATAATTCTGACAATTATAGGATTTGCAATCTACAAATCATACTATGTTTCAAACCAAAGAAATAAATCTATTAATATATTCATTCTCTTTAAATCTGAATTTGACGAATACGTTAGATCATACAATCTAGACATAGAATACGCTACAGTCCGAGTGTTTCAAAATGTATTCTAAAGAACAGAAATTTGTTTTTCTTCTTTTTTTTTATGATATTTTTAAGCAGACAGATATCTTAATTATATAAATAAATAAATTACTCACCTAATACGTTTAAAATCCAAGTATACAGATATAAAACTGGCAAATCCCACAACAAATATCCATTAAAAAGCATGCTCTCACCTTTAAACATGGTAAATCATCTGATCAAGAAAATCGATATTCCACACTTTTAAATCATGCAATTGATAAACGAGATGACAGTAGATAGTTAATTTCGGATTAGAGTATCTTATCATTATTGAACATTGTATTTAATTGTAAAAAAAAACGTAGATAATTAATTTCGGATTAATGTGTCATATTATTATTGAACATTGTATTTAATTGTACTATTACTAATATGAAATATAAGAAAATACTACTTATCTATATGAAACCCTGTTCTTATAGATATTAACAATATCAGAGTACCTTACAGTTAAAGCAGTAGCGGTAAGGTCATTATTAACAGCTTAATGGCAATAAATCTATATTAAAGTGTTAAAAAAAACCAAAAACATATTTTAGTCCAAACATTACCCAGTTGTTTTTACGTGCTGTCGTTTCTCGGATTTTTTACATTTTGTGTTTCCAGTAATTAAATCTTATGTCCAAACTAAATGACAATCTATAAGTTTTTGGTTCCAAAGCACTTCCATGAATTTATCCTCATCAAGAACACCTCAGTCAATATTTGTATGGTTAAGGATGGGTCAGTACTGTACAATCAGAGATATGTGCGAGTCTTTGAGTTTGCGAAAAATGCGAATTGAAATCTTTTGCTTTATCTGTATGCAGCAATTCTTAAAATGTTAATGCAATTCATATCGCAATGTTGTCAATTGATTTAATATTGCAATAAATAAAGGCAACAGTAGTATACCGCTGTTTGAAACTCATAAATCGATAAAGATAAAAACAAATCCGGGTTACAAACTAAAACTGAGGGAAACGCATCAAATATAAGAGGAGAACAACGACACAACAAAAACACAACATTAAAATGTAACACACACAGAAACAAACTATAATATAGCAATGGCCATTTTCCTGACTTGGTACAGGACATTTTAAGAAAAAAAAAGGTGGTTTGAACCTGGTTTTGTGGCATGCCAAACCTCCCGCTTTTATGGCAACGTCAAACACAACACCAAAACGACAACATCACATGACAGGACCACAATACAAATAAATGGGAGAACATATAGGACAAAGAAACACACGAGTGATAGTTAACAAAAGGTACTAGGCTTAAAATTCAATACGCCAGACGTGCGTCTCGTCCACACAAGACCAACCAGTGACGCTCAGATGAAAAAAATTTTGAAAGTCAAGACAAGTATAAAGCTGAAGAGCACCGAGGACCAAAACTTCCAAAAAGTTGCGCCTAACACGGCCAGGGTTTTCTGCCTGGGACAAGAACATCCTTATTATTTAAAATAATTTATAAATTTATAATAACCAATGCATCTAGAATTGACAGATTTTCAAAACCTATTCTAACAACTAGTTATAAATCTTAATTTCAGTTGAAAATACTAGTTTTGTTATAGATTAGAAAAAAATACATTTGTTCAACATTTAGTCATGATTTTTATGTGATTACTTTATAGGGACGAAACAAGTATGATTGGTGGGATTTCACACCGAAACAGGGTCCGAAAATCACAACAGATCCATTGATTCATTTCTAAAATCTATTGCCCTGTCTAATTTTGTGGCATTGATACGCGTGCTGCACGGTATTCAAATTAAAAAAAACCTTGTATTGACTCTGTGAGTGGTCTATGGTTTGGATGTGGCAATTTTAAATTTTTGTCCCCTTTCAAACACACGGCCTTCTTAACAGAACCTATCTTTTGTATTGATTGTAAATTGTCTCGGTTTGTAAAAAGAATAAAATATTTGTTTTTAGACGTGAAACAAACAACAGTTAGTCAATCATTTACATTAATGCAAGTATAACAAACATGCGTTGCATATTTTGCAGCATCTACAAATCAAAAGTACATAATATTTACTACCAAATTTCGTATTTGCAACCTTTATCATGTAGACTGTTTAAGATCAGATAACTTTCTACTTGCTGTATGCCGCATATATACAGTATGGTTTTACATTGATGTAAGGTTATTAAATATTGACGAATTTTTATAAGCAGTAGCAAATGAAAGTTTCTTGATATTTGGTACATAGCTCTATATTTTTCAGCTATCCCATTTGTTGGTTCGTCACTTATCCACTTTCTTTTTGTTGCATACAGGTATGTTTGTTTTGCAGTTATGGATGTAAAGTAAATGTTATTTGCAATCTCCACAGCAACCAAGAATAATATTCTTTTAATATTAATTTCTAAAATTTGTCTTGGTAAGATAAACCGTGCACCGTTAGTAGTAATTCATGTTGTCTGCTTCCATATTCTTTTTCTTCATTGAAAGGAATCATGTTTTTCTCTATTGTATGATGTATGATACCAAGTTATACCTTGTTGGCGGTTGTATATATTTTCGTTATATTTTGTAATCAATTCTATGTTAGTTATATTTTATGATTGGTTCTACGTTCGTTACATATTGTAATTGGTTCTATGTTCATTACATATTGTTATCGGTTCTATATATGTTCGATATATCAAGTGATCGGTTCCATTTTCGTTATTTGTTGTTATCGGTTTCTTTGTTTATTATCTCTTGCTATCAGTTTTATGTTAAAAAATTTGTTGTATTTTGTTCTTGAATTTTTGTTCGTTATATCTTGCTCTCGGTTCTATGTTTGTTGCACTGGTTGGCGGTTCTACGTTTGTTCTGTTTTTGTTGGTTCTTTTTGACTTTCAGTTTGAATATCCCTTCAAAATTTGATATCGTTTTCCTCTCTTCTTTGCTCGTTATATACTGTTATATTCGTTATAAAGTGCAGGTGGCGCCTTGTTCGCTATATTTTGTAATTGGTTTGATGTTCCTGATATATTGTCATTGGTTCCATGTTCGTTATATATGGCTATAGTTGTTATATATTGATATTTGAATTATGTTCTTCAAATATTGTAATTGGTTTTATGCATGTCATTTATTGGTTTCGTAATAATCTATCAAGGAACTTTTTGTAATTGTCACCATCAGAGATTGAAGGATTTTTGTATACGTTTTTCCGATTCATGTCTTTGATTATCGCAAATAGCTTTCATATTAATAAAGGCGACAGTGGTGTACAGATCAACTGTTTAAATTCCATATAAAGTATCAATTGGAATTTTGGAGATTTAATTTATTTCATACATTTTGTCTCGAACCAATTTATCTGTACTTTTTTTTCACATTGTCATACACAAGGAGGAAATCTAACGATCAGCTTAAAGGTCTTGCAAAATCGCAGTTACTGATACATGAATCACATTGATGTCCCTCGGGGCAAGGGGTCGGAGCAAAGGTATATTGTCCAATTGTTTTCGTTACGACCCAGGTCATTCCAAAAAGTTCACGTCCATGTTTTTTTAAATATTTACCCAAATATGTACATGTCTACTTCTTTACTACTTTTTTACTCATTCTGAAATCAATGACTCCCTTAAAATTGTTTTATTTTTACATTTATTAATTACAGGATGTGGATTTGAAGGATATGTTTATGATACTATTTCTCATGCATGCTTGAAGCTAGCAATGACAAACGGATCAACCTGGTCGAGTGCAAGGACAACGTGCCAGCATGATTGTGGTGATTTGGTCAGTTTAACAACCCAAACGAAAGTGGATTTTGTGCTATATCTCATAGGAAGTATGCATTTTCATTGTATATATCATTTGGCATCTATAATGAGTTGTCAAATGAAATTCACCGACGGACATTTCGACTCGTTCAAAGGGTTGATTATTTGGATGTGGAGATATATCAATACAAAGCCCTTTTGATCGTGTTTCGGATGTTTAATTCGATGCCCAATTTTGATAGAGAAACACATCATGTGCGTGTTTAAGAAAACATGCAACAACTGTCAAGAGTATAATTATCCTATATACTAAATGTGACATTAAAAAAGACCGAAGTAACATGTTTTTATCTGCAAGGTGTAATCGCATCATTGAGGAATCAACTTTGATCAGGAACAAAAAAGGTCAACCCTTTGATAAGCAAAACGTACATATCTCTAATTGCAAAAATTATGACAAACAAGAGTATATATCCTTTGGACACTCTCCCATCCTCGTTGAACTGCAAATCTGGGCCAAAAACGTATTTTGGATATATTTCATAAGCTCAATTCAATTGTGTGTAAAGTTTCTAATCGATGTGATCACAAAGCCTGCAACATTCTATATCTACATTCGTTATACCAAACTAGAACTTACTTAAATTGTCTTTGCTTTGAAGTACCAGCCTTCCTTATCAAAATACGAAAAAGGAGATTCATTGGATGAGATCATACACATTTTTATTTCTTGATATTATGTTCAGAATGCACAGTTATACTTAACACTTTCCAGTATTTCTACTTTAACCCATGATCATAGGAGATAATGTACAATGAATAGTTCAAAGAGTGACTAACTCAATTTTTTTCAGTACACTCCAGTGCTAATATCATGTCAATTTTCTTTCATGATTAGACAGTAAAGGAAAATTTATTATCCATTTCGCGATGAACACGAATTTAAAAGTATAAAAGATATCAAAATTAAAAAGGACATTATTCATTACTTGCAAGACTGATATTTGGAAGGCTACTAAAATACACCATCAAGCCATGTTCTTTTTTGAGAAAACGTGACAAAATAAAAAAAAGATA